ATCCAAATCAAGAGCTAGTTCAGAGTGAATCTAAAAAAAATATGAAGCTAGCAGTTACAGGTAATTGAAGGTTTGTGTGCCATACAAAGAAACTGTCTTCTGATAATAACGTACATAACTCACATTTAGAACAACAAGGTTATTCTGAAGTGGAAAAGCCACCACTCTTTGTAACTGAATCAGTGCTTTAACAAATTGACATCTCATAAACTCCTATTACAAGTGCTTTTCGCTAATTAGTATCAATAAAACATCTGAACACAAGCAAGAATCATCAACACTAATTTCTCTGTGTTACATTCATTATTGTCATTTATTTATTTATTATCATCTGCCCTCCATAAATGTACTGTATGAGTGTGTGTGTGTAGCCGCATGTGTTTAAACACACTTTTGTTGGCCAAATATTACTATTGATTTAACCTAGCTACACAATATCCCTCTCTGTTCGTTATCACAGCGCTTTATGAGAAACAAAATCCATTTCTCACACTGCACTCCTTATCCTCCTCGCCGAGTCTGTTGACACGGGAGGGGATTGAAGGACAGCCTTTATGAAGTCGCTGCACTGTCAGTTTCACACTGTTTCCACCACAAAAGAGCACCAGCACACGCACATCCAATGTGTCAAAGTCATACATAGGATTGTGCTTCAGTTTGAGAAGATGCTTGATGAGTTTTTTTGTTCCTCTCCAAAACAGAACAAGCTCTATTTAGTTTGAGTAAAATCAGCCTTAAACAGAAAACTGGTTAATTCTTTTGATTATCATAAGAGGACGCCTAGAGGAAGGTCTGAAACTATGATTTTTTTCTTTTCTTTTAAATATGTTTGAATATAGTTTAGAAATGTTTTTTTTTTTTCAACTCATAAATTTGGCTAATACAGAAAGCTGTTGGAACTAAACAGACTTTAAGTCACTCATCAGATATCCTTATATAGTCATACTGCAATAAGAGAACAGCAATACATTAAATTATACTTTTAAAAAAAGTATGTTCACATAAAGCCTATTTGTGTTTTCTCCTTCAGTGCACCTGACTATATTAACACACTGCTATATTAAACTCCAAAAACACAGTCTCTGACATTATGTAACTGCCATTATATCTCTGAGTTATTCATATAACCTTTAGGCTCAAATATTAAAACCTTTCTATCTGCAAAAATATGCAACCAGCTGTAATATTGGCATTTATTACCTCAGAAAGTTGACATACTGAACTTTTACCACAAGAAGCACATAATAGGAAATATCACTACTACTCCTTCAGTCTTTCTATTATCTCTTCCCTGAGTTCTGGTTTGGCTTTTACTGAGAAAAATACTGCAAATATTGTAGCCGCTAAATGCTCCACTATATAAACAAAGGATGAACACAAACTTAAAACGTTGCAAACTGAAAAACAGCCCAGTTAGCCAACATATGATTAAATGCTCCAAATAGCAAATATGGACTTCATTACAACTTGTGACACATGCATGTAGTCATATGATTTATTGTTGACTTTATAGACTGTTGATTTTAGCTTTAACCCCATGCAGGACTTTCATGTTGCCATACGTAGAAGGTTTTTTGGGGTCTACTGGACCCCAAGAAAGAATACCCATCCATCCATCCATCCATCCGTCCATCCATCCGTCCGTCCGTCCATCCATCCATTATCTATACACTGCTTAATCCTCACTAGGGTCGCGGGGGGGCTGGGACCTATCCCAGCTGACTTAGGGTGAAGGCAGGGGACACCCTGGACAGGTCACCAGTCTATCACAGGGCTACACTTAGAGACAGACAACCAAGCACACTCACATTCACACCTACGGACAATTTAGAATCACCAATTAACCTCAACATGTTTTTGGACTGTGTGGGAGGAAGCCGGAGAACCCGGAGAGAACCCTCACTGCACAGGGAGAACATGCAAACTCCACGCAGAAAGATCCCGGGTGTCCTCACCGGGACGCGAACCGGTGACCTTCTTGCTGCTGGGCAGCGGTGCTAACGGATCCACCTTGTAGCCCGTCTTTTTATATTTTAAAATAATCTTCAAAAATGACAAAACCAATACCTGTCACCTAAACCAAATGGTCTGGGGTCCAAAAGACTCCAAAAGTCCTGAATAGGGTTAATGTCTCAACGGGCTGTACAGTGCATACGCAGGTGATATGTGTCGAGGTCATGTTGATGTTATTGACATAGATTGTGCTAAACAAGAGATCCAGTTTGCCGAAAGTACTTCTTTACTCTCTTTACAACAAACTGACTTTCTTCACTTGCAAATTTATATTTTATTTCACACATTATTTGCGTAATTCATGGAACAATTAAGATCAAAAAATGGCCATCCATATTTTTTCTGTCCAGTGGGGCACACTGTAAGAGGTGGGGCTTCGTCTGTCTACACAGTTCTATGCAAACAGACAGACTTAGACACAGATGTTTCGATTATTCTCCATCATGCAATACCACCAGGTAAGTGCCTAATCAGCTGCAATTGATTTTATAGCCCGACAATATAATCAAACATACAGCCACGGTTCAGTAGCACAAAGAGATGCTCATCTTTATTCCTCTGGCAAGTTCTCAGACATGCTTGAAAAACTGTCTATGAGAGCTGTTGCTGCTTTAAAAGCGCTGGATAGCACCACCAAATATCAGTCTGATTTAGTTTCGTCCTACAGCACTGTGTATGAAACCAGTTAATAAAGAAAATGATCCTTTGCATTATTTGCACTTTGCTTTTAGTGCCTACAACTTTTGTACAGCACCCTGCAGTATATAATATAGTCACAATAAAGTAGCTAATGGATGTTCTCGGCCTTTGCTTCGGTGTGTGTGTTTCCTCTCTCTGTGAGACTGTGAATGTTTCAAGTCATTTTTCTGAACCTGCCCGTTGTGTCTCTCTTTGCCTGAGTTCTTGTTACCCATCTGTCTGTAGGGAAATCAGAGAAAGCAGTTTTGTTTCTCCGGTTAACTCAGTATTTGCTTACCATAACCGTCACTGGGGTAATTAACACTTTCTTTGTGCGGTAATTGCCAATTTCTTCTGTGTTTGCATCTTGATTTGTAGTGTTGCATCTGTCAGTCAAACTGGGTGTGGTTTCCATGGGGATAAGGGAAGCGTAGTAGGCATTTCCCACCAACCGGTGGCCAAAGTAAATTACCTGTAGCTTCCTTAACAGGGTTGCTATGGAGAGGCAATTACCCTAAATTGTAATTTTGCAAGGCTAATGTGGCAGGCGTTTACCCCTTAAATTAATTGGGTTTTTCAGTCTTTCTCCCTCTCACTCCACCCACCGATCTGTGAGGTCCAGGACTAAGCAGTGGAAACAGGGTAAGCACAAACAACAAAGACAAACATGAATGATATTTTAAAGTCTGTACGAAGCTGTGAATGCGTATTTTATCTTGCGGCAACCGGATACCTTGGATGTCGTAGATACACGCTGAATCTAAGGTGTCAGCTTTCAAATGTGTTTCCACTTGGTTCCTCTTCAACACTTGCAGAGACCCAGGTGCATCCATGCTGTCCCCCAGGCACAGCCATACTTCCACTCCCCCAAGACCACCTGCTCAGCTCGCTAACACCCACACACACATACACACTCGCTGAGCTCCCCCAGGTAATGTGAACAATACGACGCAGGTGACTTGAGATGCACTGGGCAGCACCAAGCGCGAATGCTGATCCAGTTTGACTCGCCATCGTCACAGTAGGAACATCTGAGTGGGAGTAAAATCCTCATTTAGATTCTCGCTAATTGTGTTTCTCAGTTAAAGATGTTGGAAAAGTGGGCCGCCATTGGAGAAAACACGACCTGCTTCAATCTCCATTCACTGCACGGATTAAATCAGCTCTCATCACTGCTGATCTGCCGTGAGGAATGGGATTAATCAATCGGAGACATTACATCTATCTGCAAATTAAAAACTGCGCTCTTCGCTGAGCACGTAGCTCCATAGTTCCTGTGTTATTTTGGTGACATGCTGAGTGGGTGGCTTTTTTCTTAGTAGGAAAACATCAGTAACACAAACCTTAAATGCGTAAACTGACCATGTTTTTGGATCACAAAGAAAATATGACGCCGTACAAAACTGCAACAAATAAAAGTAAGTACAATAAAGATTACTTTCTGGTGGTGATGTGACGATACTGAAGATTGATTTTAAAAAAAAGGCTCATTCTGAATTTCTTTTATATTAACATACTTTCACAACCAAAAAAGTGACTGAAACACAAATAACATTTCCTCAACACGCACAACTTTTGACTCTGATAAATCCCTTGTTTCATCCTCGACAATTTGTCCAAAAAAAAACTCACTTAAAACTTAAAAATCTGGGCCCTCAAAGTAATGCTGACAGTGGCTCCCCACACTGGAACTTCTGACTGGACCAGTACTATATATTGTCTTTTTATTTTTTTATTTGTGTAAAGGGATTTAATCACTGCTGTTGCTGATAGTGCCACAACACCGACCAAGACATACACCTCAAGAAAAACTGAAATAACCTGGCTGTGAGACAAGGCAGCTTTAGATAAGGTTAAAGTCATAGATCGGGACATATGAATGATTTATTTGATATATGCTTCATCTTAACTGTCCGTTATATAATGAACAGTTTGACTGATGAACTCGAAGCACTGTGTTGCATTTCAGTGTTTTTTGTTGCTTTTCTTACACAGAACAGATCCTAATGCTTTAGTGGATGTGCTGTTGATCCTTAAGGCTGAGCAGCTCTGTTGGCAGCCATCGTCTCTGTCTCCATCTGAAAAAAGACACAGCAGGAATTATGGAAATCAGATGTGACGACTACCAACAGAGGATGATTGTACGTCACAGGTATGGAGCATATTTGAAATCTACAGTATGCCATGTGCACTACATATACCAGGATATGTGCACTGATGATGCTAAAACCAAAGGATCATTTTTCATAGAATGCATTTACTGTTGAAACCAGAAGTTTACGTACGCCGTATAAAAAGACATAAAATCTTTTTTTTCCCCCTCACTGTCTGACATTAAATTCCTGTTTTAAGTCAGTTAGGATTGCCAAAATTATTTCCATTTGCTAAATGGCAGAATAATAACAGAGAGAGTTTTTTTAAAATACTTTCAAAGTCAGACGTTTACATACACTTCCTTAGTATTTGGTAGCGTTGCCTTTAAACTGTATGACTTGGGTCAAATGTTTTGGGTTTCCTTCCACAAGCTTCTCACAATAGTTTGAAGAATTCTGGCCCATTCCTCCTGACAGAACTGGTGTAACTGAATCAGGTTTGTTGGCCGTCTTGCTCCACACACCTTCAGCTCTGCCCACAAATTTTCAACAGGATTGAGATCAGGGCTTTGTGATGGCCGCTCCAAAACATTGACTTGTTGTCCTGAAGCCACTTTGTAACTATTTTGGCGGCATGCTTTGAGTCATTGTCCATTTGAAGACCCATTACACTGAAGCTTTAACTTCCTGGCTGATGTTTTGAGATGTTGCTTCAATATTTCCACATCATGTTCTTTCCTCATGATTCCATCTATTTTGCGACATGCACCAGTCCCTCCTGCCCCACAACATGATGCTGCCACCCCCGTACTTCACAGTTGGGATGGTGATCTCAGGCTTCAAGCTTCCCCCTTTTTCCTCCAAATGTAACAATGTCATTACGGTCAAACAATTCAGTTTTTTGTGGAGGTCCACAATTCCCTTCCTGACATCTTGGCTGATTTCTTTAGATTTTCCCATGTTGTGACAAAAGGAAACCGTATGTTTGAGGTGTGTCTCAAAATACATCCATGGGTGTGCCTGTAATTGACTTAAATATCAATCAAAAGCTTCCAAAGCCATGACATCTTCATCTGGGCTTTCCCAAATAGTTTGAAGACATAGTAATCTTAGTGTATGTAAACTTCTGACTTTGAAGAAAGTAATAAAAAATTCTCTAAAAAACTATCTTATTATTCTGGCATTTAGCAAATAGAAATCATTTTGGTTATCTCAACTGACCTAAAACAGGAAAAGTTTAGTCTGATTTAATGTCAGACACTGAGAAAAAGGGAAGGTTTTATTTCTTTTTAAACAGTGTGTGTAAACTTCTAGCTGTATCTGCAGAAGCTGATGTCCACAAAAGTTGTTTGTCATAAGTACCAAAGAATAATTGTTTCTAATTGAGGATAAGACCATATAGTGAGTGACAACATGACGGCTACAAACAAATAGATGTTGTACCTAACAGTGTTTGGGAGAGTGCACTCTATGTGACATTCAAACATGAGAACTTAGTACGTCTGCGTTTACTAAAATATGGAGCTCACAACCTATTAATGACATATAAATTGATTTAAATGTGAATGCTGCAAATTAAGTGGTTAATTCAATTGTATGTAACTGTATTGTCTTATAGAAGAGGTCGAAAATATCTACTACAAGATGAAGAAGACATTATTGGGCAGATACCTGGGAATTGATCTCCCAGACACATAAAAGGCATGTATTTTTTGGGTCCACACAGCTCTATTACAAATGTGGTCATGGACAAATCAAGGCGGTAAAACATGGATGGTTTTTCCTGTACACTTTTGACCTAAACATATCTTTGCTCTGCAGACGTTTTCATTCACTCCTTTAGAACTGACAACTGCGCTGCTCTTTGCTGCCCTCACATGCCTCTTCAAGGAACTTTCTTCACCTTTACTGGAATGAATCCACACACCTCCTCTGTGCAGCAGCCCTCTAACAAAGGCTGGATCACCAAAACACTGACTCCATGAATCAAAGAAGATGAGCTGAAAAATGTGCATTCATTCTTGCCGGTCGTTGATGTTGCTTCACTTTACAACAGGTGACAGACTCACCAGTTAGAGAGCAGAGTGTCTCACAAACAAGTATACAAATTTAAAATGGATTTCTACCCTTTTTTTTTTTTTTTTTTTTTTTCCCCTAGAGCAGAAAGACAAAACTTGTCTTCTAAAGGCTAAAAATCTGTTACCTGAACTGCTGCCTTCCAAAGCTAAGTAACCATCCAACAAAGAGGTGAACCCTGTCAGCCCTCCCATGGCAGCATAAGGGACATCCTTGCCTACTGGCTGACCTCGTGCCTCCCTCTCTAGTTTTGTCTCAACCTGCCAAAAAGATAGAAAAAAAAATAATGTAATCTTAGTTCAAATTAGGTAGAATGTGAAACTTTGTGACTGTAAATAAATGGTATCTTTACTCTATGTCTACCATCTGTTTCTTTTACACCAACCAAGTGTTTGACTCTACTCACCAGGGTCTGGTGGGCAGAGCAGGGCCGGCCACATCCACAGGTGTAGGGACTCTGGAACCCAGAACAGGAACCTGAAAAAGGAATTATTAGGAAACAGGCACGGGAAAACGATGGACTGAAACAAACTACCACAGTCTTAAAATGTACTAATTAAAGACTCACACATCTTGCATAAGTGGCCAGAGGCTTCACTGTGATCCCGAGGTAAGTGTTTACACCTGCAGCGTACAGGGTTTGATCCAAGCCGAGGAACATAGTGGTAGGCAGGACAGTGACATCCGCTGACTTGACATGGTAGGGCCAGAGGTCGCTCAGAAGGAACCACTTCCCAATCTGTCTTATGCTGCTTGTACCTGGACAATATTACATTACTCACAAATGTCTGTGTTTGTCAGAAGGATATTTGCATTGTGTTATGGAGTAATATGCTACCTATGTGCGCAGAAGCACGGTGTCTCAGGGCCAATTAGTCTGCAGTCAATACCCCCTGGTACGCCAAAGCTCACATACAGCCTGTTGTTGACTCGCTGAGGCAGCACCTTCCGCTTGTACTCTTCATATTGCTCTGGAGTGAACAGTTTTCCTCCATCATCATCACCTACTATCCTTGAAAAGACAAATCACCATTGAAATAACTATACACAAGTCCATACTACCTACCTGCAATGAAAGGTTTAATGTGTTATTTCTACCTTTGTTAAAGGTGAAAGAGGTATTCAGATTCATTACTTACTTCCTTCACTTGAAAAGTAAAAATACAACTCAGTGAAAAGACTCCACTACTAATAAAAGTGATGCACTCGAAACCTTACTGAAGTAAAAATGTGTTGGCAATATCAGCTCAATTTAAATCAAATAACAAAACTAAGAGCACTTCTTCTGTTAAAAAAATAATAGTAATAATAAAGAAATTCTGTTAGTACTTCATAGCAAACAACAAAACTTAAAGCACTTATTCTGTTAAAAAAAAAAAATCCCTGTCAGTGTTTTGCTATTATCTCATTTTGTATTTATATTTGTGCTGCATATATTGCTGCTAATTGAGTAGTTCCATCCGCAGCAATATAAGATCATCACGTGCTTGTCACAAACCCTCATATCTGTAAAAGTCCACTTTTTATTATGTGAAGAGCAACCTTAGTCTATATACAGTATGTCACAAAAAGTAAGTCACATTTCTGCAAATATTTTAGTATATCTTTTCATGGGACAACACTGAAGAAATGACGCCTTGCTATAATGTAGTCAGTGTACAGCTTGTGTAACAGTGTAAATTTACTGTCCCCTCACAATAACTCAATACACAGCCACTAATGTCTAAACCACTGGCAACAAATGTGAGTACACCCCGAAGTGAAATGTCCAAATTGGGCCCAATTAGCCATTTTCCCTCCCCGGTGTCATGTGACTCATTAGTATTACAAGGTCTCAGGTGTGAATGGGGAGCAGGTGTGCTAGATTTGGTGTTATCGCTCTCACACTCTCTCATACTGCTCAATGGAAGTTTAACGTGGCACCTCAAAGAACTCTCAGAGGTTTTGGAAAAAAAAAAAAAAGAATTGCTGTTGTCTTTTGTGACATACTGTATGTTAAGAGGTTGAGGAATGTTCTCTAACTTCTGTTTATCAGAAAAAAAGACCAAAAAAATCTAATTAAGGCTCATTCAAAGTTTGGAGAGAGCTGGCTTTCACTGGACAGGAAAGGTACAAAAAAATTTAATTGCATGTTGGAAACAAATGTAAAAAAAAAAAAAGAGAAAGACACACAAAATAGAAAAACTCAAGCGAAGTTGTAGCACCTCAAATGTATACTTAAGTGCAGTACTTGAGTAAATGTACTTAGTTACATTCCACCACTGTTATGTATAAAGTATTTTACTTGTGACAGTTAACCTAGCATGAGATGTTACAGGTAGGTGACACGTTCACAAAAGCCACTTCAATGCTTTTCTAAGTCAGGAGATAAACTTTAACATTGAGACAAACCTTCTGTACTCCCAGTAGTCATCCACCGCTTTTAAAGCTGATTTATCGAGCCGTATCGTCTCCATTGTCAGAGATCTACGACTAGCAGCTGTGGGATTCTTGTTTTACACAGCAAACAGCTACTGTTTACACAGCAGCTTTCAGGTTGTCATGGAGATGGTTGTAGGTGTCCCTCTGACGGACGCAAAGCGAACTGCACAAAAATAAAAATTAAAAAATTAAAAACTAAACAGCAAATAAAAATAAAAAAAGAGAAAGAAAAAACATTAAAAGGGTGCTTAAACCAAGAATATATCCAGTCGGACTAATTCACCTTTTAATTCAGCATTACATACCAGAGCTCATTCTTTCCTAGTCGGTCGCCAAACGTTAAAGGTCAGCTCAGAGACAAGCAGGGTATGAATACATTTCCCATAATTCAACAGCACTGACGCACGCTCAAGACGTTCAGTGGAACCATGACAGTCAGCGCAGTTGCACGCTTGGAATTCTAGCTGCCGACTTTTTTTTTTTTTTTATTGGTTTCAAGGACCTCGTCGTTTTTCCGGACAGCGGAGAAACACGGCGTAATGACTGGCCGGGCGAAAAGACACCTTACCATGAAGCGGGACGGCTGAACTTTTTCCTCAGCGGGTTGTTCAGGATATCTCCCCGGTGGCGGCAGCAACAACAGCCCAGGGTTGCCAAACAACAAGCATCATTCAGTGTCAGCCAACGGCAGCGGCTGGAGCTCACTGTCGTCTCGTCCCCGCTTCTCCGCAGCCTGTAAATTTCCGCTTCAGTCTCGAGGTAGCTACCCAGACAACACACTGGGGTATAACGTCGTTTTTTTTGTTGCTACTGTTAAACTACATGTGCTGAAAAGCTTTTGTCCTTTTTAGTGACTGTCAAGTTGTAGCTTTGTCGAGCTAGCGCATCGAGCTAACGTGAAATGTTGGTGGAGTTGGAAACAGCTTCAGCTAAGCTTGAGCGGCTGCTAGCAGTTATTTGAAAAATCTATTTTAAGTGGGAAAAGTCTTTAAACCGAGCATACAAAATGGGTGGATCTCACATTTATCATTCTTCTGCTTCTTAATTCGCTGTCCAAGTGTACTTGACATTGTGTGATCATAATTACAAGTTTAGCAAGTATTGTGGATTTTGTGGCTCGTAGCTGTAATGACATAATGAAGAACATCCCAGTCTTATTAACTTTTACTGCATCCACCCTTTCATCGGCATTTCAGTTTATAGTTCATGGTTTAAGTGATTAAGTCTGTTGCTCAGCCTGTCAGCTGTCACGTTACTTGAGGCAGCTGTTGTGGTCAATATTTAACCTCTAGATTAAGTAGTTTGAATGGTACTGTGTGCCTTATCACTCTCAGTGATTCCTTTAGGTTCATTGTATTTAAATAGACCTCTAAACAAGTGGAACATTCCTTGTATGAAGCCTATATGGTGTGCCTTTCCATGATCTGGAAGTTACAAGCAAACATCTTTATCACGTTGAGGAGGACCCTGTGTAAGAATCTGCAGCCACCAATGTGTTGTAAATCAAGTGTGGCACATTGCAGTCTACGCACATACACAACAGGGTGTGTGCTACTGTGTAATTGGTCTTTACTTGGCAGCTTCACAGATCACAATGATATGGTTCAACGGCATGAAAACCCTTCATGTTGTCAACATGTGGTCTGAGGTGGATAGGAGTTATTGACTAACAGGCTCAGAAAATCCTCCTAAAGCTTTGTTAGTTTCTGCCCTGGAGCTTGCATAGATTGTTCCTGTTTGCTAACCCACACCATAACCTACAACAGAGAGCTTTAACTTGAACCTGAATTATATCAGTGCTTGATCGCATATATGATCCCTGCACATTATACATTGTCTGCAGAACTGTGTCTGCAAACTTGTTTTACTGCTTTCATTAAGTTTGTTTTGTTCAGTGTTAAACTTTGTTGAATGGTTGAAATTGTCATCATGACATCCAAAACATGTGATTCTACAATGAGGATTTTACTTTCACATTCAGAAAGTATTCCATTTTTTTTTCGAACAACGAGTCAAAATGTTACCACACTGTGGGTGGTGGCGCTTACTTGTAATGACTGATATGTTTTACAGTCATGGGGCTTGTTGCTTCCTGACTAGCTGTAGGTGTTATTTTCATTGTGTCTTTACACCTTGCTTTCTCTATCCTCCCTAGTTATGGTCTGCTGATTCATAACTCTCCCCAGGTCATAGGGAGGACATGTTTGTGTGTGTGTGCGGGAAGCATCACTTACCAGATTCTGTTACTTTTTTGTTCATAATTTATTCCCTCAGTTGCTTCCCCCCGCTCTGACCTCAATAGAAAGTGACACTCCCACACCCAAGAGAGACTGCAGAGAATGAACTTGGTGACAAAGTTGTGAAAACTGAGAAATGATCGCCTAATTTCCCCCTGCATGTGCACGATGCACTCAGAGGCGGTTTGTCAGTCCAGTAGCCATTATGGAGGTGGGATTAGCGGATGAATGCCCTCTATGACTCTGTCTGTTGCCATGTCTCCTATTTGGAGCTGCAAAGTGGGTCCCATGAAATCTAAACTAGTAATCGGGTTTCTGGGCTAAGTGGGCTGAAAAAGATTTGTTGGTGAGTGGGCTATTGTGCACCTTGACCCAAAGCAGCAAAGAAATCTGCCTCTAATAATAGTTAAATAGTCTAGGAAGCCATTTTGATGCATCTGCTTTTTGCCCAAAATGATACCATGGATTTAGTTCTTCATCCAGCACATGCAGGGGCATCTGTGTGTGTTAGAAAATATTTCATTAATCAACCCAGAAATCCTGACAGCCATTCTGAATTAAAACCTCAATGCTTGGCAGGGCTGTGAGCCCAAGGCAAATTAATGTAAAGTGGATACACAAATGAGACCTTAAGTTCTCTTTCATTAGCCTGTATGTGTGGTCCGTGTAACCTTTTTCCTTTCATTGTTCAATCTGCGCCATCAAAATGATTCAAATGAACAATGGGCTTTAAATTGTTATTATCCTTTTATTTTCTTATTCCTTCACAAATGGATAATTATCTAAGTTTAATAATTTTTTTTATTTTTATTTAGGTTGCTGCTTCAAAATTAGATTTTGGAACCAAAAAAAAGATTCATTATTATAATTACCATTTCTAGGGTTTTGTTTATTGTGAACTTTACCATTAGCGCCTAAGAAGGAAACCTACAGCCAGCCATGGATTCAATAGTCCAACCACATTATGTAGCCTATTAGATAGCATATCAGACCATATAATAATTTATCAGCTACACTATATGTATTATTAAAATGCTATAGACAGCAATTTATAATACACTGTAATTTCATAGCACCTTTTAAAAGTTACAAGTTGCTTTATAAATCAATAAAATATACAAAGCTTTCAAAAGCCAGAATGAGATAGTAAATGAAGACAATTAAACCATAAAAGACATTAAAACATATAAAAAGGGCAATGATAAAACAATAGAAAAGGCATCAAACATTACAGAAATGTCTGTCTGCACTGGTGGGTTTTAAAAGCTTCTTGAACTGAGGCACTGACCGAATGTAAGTAACAGCTTTTTCCTGACCGTTGGGGATAAAACAATAAAGGCATGGTCCCTATTTGTTTTAAGCCTGGACTGTGGAATGTTTAACAGAAGCTGATTCTCAAATCTGAGGAGTCAAGTTGCAGAAAATGGAGTCAAAAGTTCTGAGATGTAGAGCAGAGCCAAACCATGTGATTTACAAGTAATCATGAGAATCCTAAATTGAATTCTGTAGCGAATGGGGAGCCAGTGTAGTTCGGCAAGGGCCAAAGTAATGTGTTCCCTGCGTCAAGTATTTGTGTGCAGTCTTGCTGCTTAGGTTTGAGTCACCTATCAGCAGACAATTGTTGCATCACAAAGGCAAGTAAATAGTGAGTTGCTGTAGGTGTGAGAAAATGAGAGTGTGGTTAAGCTGTTCAGCCATGCTTTCAGGAAGCACTGGTTTGACTTTGGCCGTACATCTATTTATAGATGGCTTGGTTGAACCAGAGCCCTCTGCTTAATTCCAGGAAGGCAGTATTGTAGAGAATTGTCATGATGGTTTTCAAGAGTTAACGAGACATACGAGGTGTGTCAGAAAAGTTCCAGGACTGGTGTCACAAAAGATGTATTTCAAACCCAAACTACGAGTTTTCCCTTCAGACGATCAACCATCACGTCTACACAGAGATCCTGCAGCGTTTGCTTCATTCAGTGCACGAGAAGAGGCCAGAGTTGTGGCAGGATAAGTCGTGGCTGCTTCACCATGACAATGCGCCTGCTCACAGTGCCCTGAGCATCCGACAGTTCCTGGCTGAGGAGAACATCTCCATGCTGGAACAACCTCCCTACTCACCCCACCTGGCCCCGTGGGATTTTTTCCTCTTCCCCAAGCTCAAAGGGGTCATCAAGGGGACCGGTTATGAAGATGTGGACGACATCAAGATGGCTGTGATGATGGAGCTGCAGAGAATCCCGAAAGAATCCTTCCAGGAGTGCATGGCGGCGTGGCAGAGAAGGCTGGGAAAGTGTGTTAGACTCCAGGGGGATTACTTTTAAGGGAAAAACTTGGAGTTTGTAGTTTGGATTTGAAATATATCTTTTGTGACACCAGTCCTGAAACTTTTCCAACACACCTCGTACAGCTGGGAGTCATTTGCATAGCAGTGGTAGGACATCGGGGTGAAATGGTGGATGATATGGCCAAGGGGCAACGGATACAAACTCAACAAAAGCGGGCCAAATTCTGACTCCATAGGACGTGAGGGTAGTTGAAGACCTTAAGCTGTTAGCAGTGACCTTGTACACTCAGTCTGATTAGCATGATAAAAACCACTTCAGAGCAGTTTCACTGAGGCCAGACCACTTCCTGTGTCTGTTGAGGGGGATGGTATGATGTACTTTACCTCGTCAACACCATTATTAAAAATGTTTTTTTTAAAAATCATTGTATTTATTTATTTATTTACGTGGCCTTTATTTATTTAATTATCCATTGTTCTATAGGCTATATTTAGGGATTTGTATCATTACGCTCAAACATGCTTTTTAGTCAGTTGGAGAGGGGCTATGCTGGGTGACCTGAACAACAACAACAACAACAACAATACTGCTGGCAGTCAGCCTCAGGCTCCAGTCTATGAGTAAGGTTCACATGTCTCCCAAAATAGGGTAGCAATACAGCCCAGCCACAAGCTCACAAGACAGAAGTTATGTATTAGAATATTGAGTCATTTATTTATTTTTGTTCAAAAAACAATTTTAGAGGCACCAACCCAAATGTGAATAATTGAAAAATAGAATCAATTGTCCATTTATGAAGTAACTGAAAAAAAAATAAATTGTGGCCCATTTTTTCATTCCATTAATTTTAATAGTTTAGTATTGAACAAAGAATTGCAAAGAGCTTAACATACTGTGTTTTTCATGTTGCGTTAACTGTACTGTTATTTATTTATGCCTATTTTCTGTACTTTTCCAGCACAGCCAACAATGTCTGCAGACCCTCTGGCTGATCACCCAGTCGACGCTGGTGATTTGGTGTTAGACATCATGCAGCCAAAGCACCTTTCCAAAAACCCCTGACTGCTGGGGTGTATGGGCGTCCTTCCTTCCGGTTGCACTTCTGTTGCTCAACACGCTCTCATCTCCTCCTAGGAGGGGCAGGATGTTTTAAGAATGCTACGTAGCGGACTTTAACCTCTGATCTCTTTGTGGATAAGGACAGCACGCTGTCACATTGCTTACCACGTTACTGGTATCTCAACATACAAGACAAGACATTCAGCCTCAGACCAGGCCTGTCTAGCCCCCTTCAGTTTCACCACCCCAGTACCATGCTGGGTGCACTACTGCGGAGGAACATGTCCCAGAAGCTAAGTGTGCTGCTGCTGGTATTCGGCCTGGCATGGGGACTTATGCTGCTGCGATACACTGTGCAGCAGCCTCGCCATCAAAGCAGCGCTGAGTTGCGTGAGCAGATACTGGAGCTTAGCAGGCGATATGTCAAAGTCCTGACAGAGGAGAACCAGAATGCGCCAGGTGGGCCACAGGGAACCTCCATGGCTGGTTATGGTAAGGCTTACTACTGTATTTTCTGAATAGTGTAACATTACTTGCTCACTTCTGTATGCAAATTGAGTTTTTCTCTGTTGTGAAAAAGCGTACTCAGACTGATTTATTTTCTTCCCTGTGTATCTTTTTCTTCCACCCCTTTCCCATCCATATACGCAAACAGCTGATCTGAAGAGGACTATTGCTGTGTTACTGGATGACATTCTGACGCGACTGGTCAAACTGGAGGGGAAAATTGAATTGGTGGCCAATGCCTCTTCCACAAACACCTCCCACACTGCAGGGGGCATCTTAGCCTCCGCTCCCGCTGCCCTGCAGAAAGCTTCAAGGCAGGAGACACCAGGCAGCCACCCAGGGACGTCACGCCTCCATCCACACGTCCCCAATAGGCGTCGACCACATTGAGAAGGATCGTTTTGATAGACATATCAATTTTTTGTTTTTCAGCACATTACACTTTTTCATCACTTCCGCTGATGAAATGACATCAGACTAATGAAGCAATAGGGATAATTCTGGACATCCACTGGCTTGAAAAGCAGGATGCACCTCTGAAATGTTCTGCCATTTCAAAGAGAAGAAAGAGAACCTCTCTAATCTCCGGCCTATCATATGCTGATATTTATTTTTTTTACTGAGACTATCCAGCACTTGTTTTTTTTTTTTTATATTTTCATTGCTGAATTTATTTTACTTAAATTTTTAGTTTTTTATAGAGTCATGTTTGAATGTTGTGACTGTTTAAGCAAATGCAAAGGAGCAAATGCTTTGAACTGAGACTCAATTTCAAACGCTTAATCATGAAACTGGCTTTAAATCGTCCCCATCCACAGATAAACCATTATACAATACTGCTTCAACATATCAAAATACTGAACTAAACTCATGATAGTTAGGAATAGCTGCATTTTAGTTTCTAGCTGGCACGATTGCTAAATACTCTAAGAATAAGACTCCTCTTTTAGCACACACATATTAAGGATTCTAAGAATAAACAATTTAGTTCACTTGTAACAGATAATCCAAAGAATATTACTGCAATCCATCAGAAGGCAATATAAGTTTGTACGTGCTATATACAATGTTTATGGAGAATATGAAGGAACGATGCCTATTTGCCACTTGCAAACTCGTGTGAAAGTGTGTGTTTGCATTGTCTCACTTGAAATCCAATGTTTCCCTCGCACCACGCTGAGAAATGGATTAATTTAGATGTTGCTGGAACAGATTGAATGTACTGTGCAGACAGTCTAGCCCTGCAGTGCTGGTAAGATGACTGATGTACTGCTTACACATGTTCAGGGTTCATGTTGCACTGTGACCATAGAGATTTTCTAAAAATACTGGGTTCGTCCAACTTGGACTTAAGGGATATTTAAAGAGAGTGGATTTTAGGTTTTGGAATATTCATTCTTCCAGCCTTCCTGCTGCTCCTTAGCATGGTTTCTGTAATACTGATAAAAGCTGGTAAAATACCTCACCATGTCCTGCCCAGAGGAAGGAAACCTGTAATTTACTCATCATGATGCTTATTAACGTGATGACTTTCTTCTGCCACAGAGATGAGCGACACTTTTACCAACATCATGTGGGGATTGTATGAGACACAGTCAATGTGGATGAAAGACTAAAATATGAAGAAGAGAATTCATTAAAGCATAAACCTTGCTGTGTAAGGTTGCTCCCAGAAATGCAACTGTATGTTAAGGTCGCTAGACTAAATTATTGAGTTGGGATTTAACTGTGTCAACACTGAGTGATGCCATAAATGTACCTTGCTTATATTGCTAAAGTAGAAAATATGATGAGCCAGCCAGCTGCTGTGATGAGATAGCTTTACTAATAAATCCACCTCATGGAAAAATGATTCTCTCCCCATTTAAACCAGTTTTATGCCAGATTCTTCACTTTTCCTATTTCTATAAATGAAATGTGTGTCTCTGAGAAGATCTTTCGCACGGACGGAAAACCCCAACGAGTACATAAGAGTGGGATGTTTGAATAAGTAAATGTATGAAAATTGCTTTTCAATTTTTGACTAACCTCACCTGAAAAAAAAAAAAA